AACACCCATCACAAGGTGCACGTGCGAGACACACGTGTTTGCCTCTGCATTTGCGAACCTGAATCCTGTTGTTGGATTTTACTGTTCTGGAAGTTCCTGGTGGAGGCGGGATCAGATCCAAGTGTCTTAGGACTACTGATACGAGAGATTATTTTGGGAGAAGTAGGTGTGAGTCGTATGGACAGTCATCGTACACCACTCTTTCAGAGTTCACGGTGACCGGGAAGTGGTATCCATGTTCTTTTCAGTATTCGATCATATTATGCAAGGGTTTGACAACAATTTATGAATTCTATTCACAAGAGAAGAAGCTCGATTGATGAGCTTTCGGGATAACGTGAAGCCAGCTATCCCTGACCATGGTGTAGTTGGCACAAATGACAGGTTACGCATGCATTTGATGCAGGAAAAGAGTGCCATGAGAGTACATGGTTTTGCTTCGGTCAGAGTTCCATCCTTCGACAAGGTCAGGGACGTGAGTAACTTGCACAAGTAGTCTGAGAAAACATTCTCGCACGTTTGCAGCTATGGAAATGCTGGATTCTGTCAACTTGATTATGGCGTTCACGACTGTGGCTTGTAGAGTACGTGGTTGACTAAGTTGTCCGCCATAAGGAAGACCGGCTCTTGATGTTCTTGCAAGGGCAGTTAGCTGCAGTTGGATCAGACGTACATGCAGTATGGTTCGAATAGCAGAGTTAAGGAAGTGATCACAAGTCAATTTGATGCAATACGTACGGCATAGAGCTAACTGTAGGAGTTATGGGAGTCTTTCGTGTTCATGGACGGATCACTTAATTTTATGCTCTGTTTCCTGCTGGCTTCAGTTTTGATCAGTGGAATGTTGCTAGCTGTTCAGCTGTGTAAGTTTTTCTTTTTTTTGTGTTTGTTTAACCTGTACAGTGTATATTTTTGCCAGGACGGATTGTACAGTTGGCTTGTCACAATAAAGCTCTGCTTAATTACCCCCCAAAAAATGGGTTCTTGTGAGATGACAAAGTCAACATGATCTCCAGTGAGCAACCATCACCTGGCATTATTAGCTCAGTGGTTGGTTGCACCGTTCATCTATGGCTTTAATCTGAATCTAAATAGAAAAGAGTAAGCAAACCTGCAACTCTTTTGGCACAAGTGACTACTATCTCTCCTTAATTATTTAAGCACTATTTACTTCACATGATAACATAATGAACAAAAATTAGCTGACAAATTTACATACTATTTATCGGCTTTGATGTACAACAACAACTGGTAACTGAAAAACACAAATGACACGGATAACCAAGCTATCGAACAATGCAATTCTTGTATCTGACCATGGCTCTTATATTCGAAGTTATCCTTGTTGCCGAGAAACCGTCTGAAACACCAGAACATGCAGTCTGCACATCACAATGAGAGTAGCATTAGGCTCTTGAATACATGCGAGGTGTGTCTTTAGGTGCCCGGAGCTGTTCTAATGCTGGAAGAATGTGTGTCATGTTGGGTCTGATCCTGGGATCTGCATGGAGGCACTGCAAGGCAAGAGCAGCAATTGTTTGGGCTTCCTTCTTCGAGTACTGTCCTTCCAGTCTTGTGTCCATGACCCTTAGCATCTTTCTTTTATCATTTAGGAATGGCTTCGCCCAGTCCACCAGTATCTTCTCTCTGGATCCATTATCTTCATCGAGTGCTCGCTTCCCTGATAAGAGTTCTAACAACACCACTCCAAGGCTGTAGATGTCACTCTTCAAACTCAAGTGACCTGCCATATAAATACCTCATAGGTTTGAGTACAATATATGCCACCAATCTTTCGATATGCTGAAATGATAATAGAATAATCAATTGAAACAAGAATATTATTTCTTACTTCTTTGGATATGCAAGTCAAACCGCACATAGGGCAATTAATTACAGGATCTGGTGATACCGAGTTCCAGAAGGTGATAATTTCGGCTCTAATTTTAACCTCATAATTAGGCCATTAGCCAAATTAAGGAAATTTAGTCCCTGCACCCCAGCTTGACTTCACATTGATCTTCATCATTAGGTTGACTTTCATTTAATTTTCATCATATAACCATATTGACTGATTTATACATACGGCTGTATGCATAAAGATAAAACTATACTGTTTTTATATACACCGAATATAGGATATTTTCATCTTAAATTACCTCTGTAGCTATATAATCTGTACAACCATCTAACTTAGACATTGTCCAAAGAAATTATATGACAAAACCCTGGCTTTATATATATATATATATATATATTATTGATCTTTGAGTAGGCCACAGTGATCACGAGACTTTATATTTTACTTCAGCAACAATGTACACTTAACATTGCCTACAATGTACACATTATGATCTTTGAGGAGGGCTTACCTGTAGCAATGTACTCAGGAGCAGCATAGCCACGAGTTCCAACCACCCGGGTTGAAACATGACTCTTGTCTCCAGTAGGACCATTCCTAGCTAAGCCAAAATCTGACAATCTAGCATTGAAATCCTGCACATAATTTGATAGCTGAGATTCAACATGTCATAGAATATTCAAGAATTCACTTAATCAGTTATGCTGATTCAAGTGCAAAATACCGAGTCAAGGAGAACATTTGAAGCCTTTAAATCACGGAATATAATTTGGGTCTCTAAACCATGCAAGAACGACAATCCTCGAGCTACATCGATGGCAACCTTCACTCTTACCGACCAAGGAATAGGCTGCACCCCTCCTACAATAAGTAAAACCAATTACATTCATTTCATCATTAAATTTCAAGGAAAACATCCAGACTATGAATTTTGACATAGTCCCGGTGAACATTGTAGTAAAGCAAAAGAAACTAATAGAAGCTAATTTCAAAGAAGGAACATACTTTTGAATAAATGGTTCTCCAAGCTGCCTTTCTGCATATACTCATAGACAAGAAGCTTGTTGTTTGACTCCGAGCAGTAGCCTATCAATTTAACTAGATTTTCATGGCGAAGCTGACTCAAGTAGGTAATTTCTGCCTGCATGGAGAACAGTGAAGGTGAAGTTCACCTTAAACATGAGAAGCCATAAAAGAACTCCTTGCTAACAGATGCAAGGGGTTACATACAAGCCATTCCTTGTGCCCCTGAAAGCTTTCTCGTTTGAGTTTCTTGATGGCAACAATGATGCCAACTCCTGGTCTAGTGGGAGCATAGGTAAGCTCATCGATCCATCCTTTGAAGACACACCCAAAACCTCCTTCGCCTAGATATGAATTGGAGCTGAAATTTTTAGTAGCGGTCTTGAGATCATTCAAGCTAAAGGACTTCAGACTGACAGTGGTCGATGCATCTCCCTTGTTGAAACTTTCAGCTGCAGTCTCAAAATCGCTCAAGCTGAAGGACTGAAGACTGGCAGTAGTTGATGGCTTGCTTTTGAATGATGAATCATAAGTTGTCGTTGACTTACTTGAACTAAAATTATTTATGCTGGACAGTGGATTCTCTGGAGATAACATGTGAGTCATATTTCCTTTAGCAATAATTTTAAAGATGTACAGAGCATTTGAAGTAAAATTTAAAATGAAAGAAGTTTCCATAAGGAACTATGTGATCACAAATAGATCCATGATTGTATATAAAACTGGAGTACTATAAACAATTTCTAGAGTCATTAGTAAGTACTGCAAACATGGTATATTTAGCAGATAATCATGACTATACTTGCTTAAACATAGAAAATCTTGTTGTCCAAGTTCATCCCTTTTCCACTTATTGCAATGCAAGAATATATCAAATTAGACGGTCTGTTTGTAACACCTCGATTAGTTCCAAATCGAAAGTGCATAAGATTAAGATTAACTTATAACGGTCTAATGGGTGTACTACTATAAACTTTAACTTGGGCTTATTGATCAGTGATTTAGGTCAAACGAAGTTGATGGATCAATTATCCCATAAGGCTAGGGCCTTGATATCCGATCTAATATTTAGGTACCTTGATATTTGGTATCAAGGCAAATGACAGATTTCAGGAATGGCCAGGTGGATTGATATACACCTCATTAGATATAGACAATAATCAGACAGTAAGGTTTCCCTATTACATTGTTGTTGGCAAGCATATTTGAGATTGGAGCATCAGAAACAAGCTGCACAACTGTCTTAATGCAGAAATTAAAATTGCAAAAATCTCTGTTCTAGTTAATCCTTTTGCACACATCAACCCTAGGTTATATAAACCAGATATATAACCATACTTCAAGTCTAAAAGAACAGAAATATGAAGCCTTTGGAGATGAATCCACAGTTAAGACAAAAACATGACATCTCAATCTTAAAGAACAACACTATATGTTATTAACTTGTCGACGCCTTTGCTGCAATAGCACACTTCCTGTCTGAATAATCTCGCAATTAGCATGGTGCCGTAATCCTAGATCCATTCAAGTCATGGCACTGGTAAATGCTATGCAGGCTGACTTCTTCTAGCACAGTGCTGTTTAGCGTCGAACAACAATAATTTGGTTGGTAATTTGTTTAATATAAATTACTTGTGGAGGAGAAATAATTAGATGGTGCCATGGGAATTCTCAAGTGTTTGAGAGAGAATCAGAGACAATTGAGAATACAGTCTCGTTTGGTTATTTTAATATTTGGGTTATAGAAGTACATATTGGCATGCTGAAGCCCTACTGGTTTCATGCACTCCCCACACAAAATCTCCCAAACATTCAGTTTTGTCCCTTAAAAATCAAGATAAGATCAAATTCTGAGGTTTATCTATCTGATGTATATTAGGTTGCACATCTTCTTTAGAGCAAAAAGTTCATTATTTTCTCTAAAGTAACTTGTTGCACAAAAAAAAAAAGAACAGACTGAAAAGAAGAAAAAGAACATATATATCCAAACATCTTCCCGAGCAATAAAACTACTGCAAGAAAAACGCAGAAAATGAAACCGATATCCGACCGATGAAGAACGCAATCGAGTAAAGAAAAGGATAAACAATTTTGCTTCCAGGCATGATTCTTTTTTGGGGGGGGGGGAATGCCTCTCATGGTATGTATGACATCTAGGGTTTAATCACCTCAAATTGTTCTCGACCTAACAATAATTCGACAACTATTACCATTCAATTTCTGCACCAAAAGAAGCAGGCGAGGCGGTGGCTGCTTCGAACAGGCACTTGAGGCACTACTGTACCCGGAAGCATTGCAGTAAGATTATGCGTAATACATATAGTTTCCCCCCACTGTGTACTTGTCGTTTCGAAAAGCTTATATGAGTGATCTCCTCGGTTCTTCTCCCCCAAAATAAGAAATAGCAGGCAAACAAAGAGAAACGAGAACGAACATAGTAGAGAAAGGAAGAGTGGTTGGTTTCTCACTTGAAGCATAAGGAGAGGAAGCGTTTGCCAGCTTAGCAGAGCCCCCGCAGAAGTTCCCCATTAGAGGACAGCCAAGAAGACCTCAATCACCCATCGGCCATAGCCAACCACATATTACAGGCGTCGGAGATGCTTCCACCGTCAGCAGAGATCGGTCAAGGCTGATCTCATCATCAATCCCTGACTCAAAATTGGCGGAAATTTCTATGCTCTTGACCCGTTCCAAGTCGACGCAGTGATGGGATGGAAACTTGGAAACATCAACTTCATAAAAAATTCAAGAAATCGAGGATGCTGACACGTTGTAGATTAAAGTCAAGCATCGAGTCAACAGATTTGTCGGAGCTTTCGTCGGAAGGAAGCAAAGGTGGGTGAAATCAACGCACCAACGTATCATCTGGTTTGTGGCACCGTCTTATGTGGTTCTCATTTGAATTCACGGTGGCCGGATAGGAAAAGCGCCGCAAAAGCTGGAACTTAACGGGGCTGGGGCTACTCTGCTCTTCTTCGGGAGTTCACATGGACGAGAAGGTTTGGCATCTCCATCGGTCATCTCCTCTTCCTCCAAAGAAGTCAAGCTTGTATCACAGTAATATGAAAGGAGATCGTGTCCGAATTAGACCAGTGCTTGGCACCTTATGCTAAAACAACATCATTTTCCCAGTAACTATTGCCAAAAATAATATTGTTTCTCTTTCTTCAACTCTTAGCAACATATATAGTCTTTTGATCTTCGAAGATATTGACTTCCAACTCTTTGCCTTGTTTGATGTTTCATTATGCTGACCAACAATTTTAACGTGTGTTCTAATGAGCGACACTCGTTTGTTAGACTTTTCAAAGGTTGACTGATTAATGAAGTATTTTTTAGGTAATAAATGACACGTAAGAGAACTTATCCTTTCAATGTGGGCCCGAATCATCAAAGCATTTGTTTTGCAGTAAATCCTCTTTTGGGATTTCCATGTTTTTTGTTTCTTGTAACAGAAAACAGAAAAGCGTTGCCAGATGTATGTATTATAGTTTGTTGGGCTTAAACGAGCGGGCGGATGGAGAAGGCCCGATTTCTTGCGGAGGCGCCTCTCTCTCTATCTCTCACTCTCTCTCTCTGATGCTGTTCCCTTTCTCTCCGCCTTCCTCGTCTCCCTTCTCCGCGATGCTCTTGCAAAGACTTCTCGGCTCCGTCGCTCGACGCCAACTCCCTTCTGCCTTCCCCCTCCCCAAATCGGTCTCCACTGTGATATCGAGGCCTGCCGGTCGGAGTCGGCTGGGGTTTGCCCCGAGCCAGAGCTTCGAGTTGCCGCTCATGGCGTCGTCCGCCCCCACCGAGGACGCCCGCCGCTCCTCCTTCGTCCCCCTACCACCCTCCACTGCAGATAAGGTTAGGGTTCTGCCGTCCCCTCGACCGTCATTCTTGATTCATTGCGGGTTTCTTCTTGGTAACTTATCCTGCTTGCACGGTAGGATCGCATTCCATTAAACCGGGCACTCGTATGACGCGATTTTGTGGTGTCATATTTCTTTTCTTTTCTGCTTCTTCTATTTTGTCGCAAGACTGTGGGTTTTGTAACTTTTATTAGTGAAAAACAGGAACAAAGTAATAAGTATGGAAAATATCCTTTTATTTAAAACACAAAACTTTTAATTGGAGGCTCGACCGCCCATTTTCAACGTATTGTTCCTTCTTTCGATGTGGGAATTCAGCTGCTTGCTATCCATGCCTAATAATCTAAAATTTCCTTGTGTTGGTTGTACGAATAGAAATTGAAGGAGTTGAGAAACGAGGAGGATATAACAATAGTGAAGTTTTGAGACAAAAATAAAAAGAAGAATCCGGTGATTCTGGCTGGAAAAGAAATCAGTTGCTTTAAGGTGACAAGCAGTGAAATGTTCCAGTTTCACCCCTGCTAACGATAATTTCGGTGCAACCTCAGTGACACTTAGTATCCGATTTCAAATGGTGGAAGTTATGTGTCTGCATTCTAGGCGAAGGTTGGGCACATATAATAGTACTGCTCAAGGCAAGCAAACCATGATGAGAGTCTCACGCTGTTTGTTTCCTTTTTGAGTCTGGACTTCCTGCAATGATAAGGTTGCTCTATTATGACTTGCAAATTCGCTTGAATAGATGATCTTTTTGCATAGGAGGTTAAGGTTGCTAGCATACCAGGAACCATAATGGTGGTGAACTTCATGCATGAGGCTATCCATTTTACATAAACTACAATGACTTTGAGGTGCATTTTGAGGTCTATTTTAATAAAGAAAGTTCATTTTTAATATATGATTGACACCTTCTGGTATATATGAATTCTAGTAAAATTTTAAGCTATACAAGGATGTCGATGTTGAAATTTTAATGACACTTGGTTTTACTTGTATACTCCTTTTTATTGTCTATGTTCTTGCTTGTTTTTGTCCATGTTTTGAAACTGACATGATAACTATGGTAGGCTACGTTGTACAAAGGACTTGAAGCAACATTAGGATCAACCTTCAGTTCAGCTCCTTCTTTCCCGCCACCAAATCCCTTGATCCTTGTTGTCAGTGGACCAAGTGGTGTTGGCAAAGATGCAGTTATCAAGGTGAAGGACCTTCTTTGTTTTGTTAACTTCCACCATAAGACATTGTTGTCATGAATCAGTATTTATCCTAATTTCTTTTGGGTTATATTAGCCCCCAGGATCTTTCATTTTTGCATATAAATGCCCCTGTAGTTTTCATCGGTTTGTGCATGTTAGTCCCTCCATTAACTTCTCTATATCGATGGTCAATTTAGTTCAACCTAACTGTTATTGAATAACCTGAAATATTTCATTAGACATATTCCTAGGGACTAATCTGCATGGATTAAGAGTTTTTGGACTTTCATGTGCATGACTAGAATTGGGGACTTGTGCACAATATGAAAAGATTTGAGGCGGTAGCATACAGAGAACTCAAGATTTTCATACTGTCTAATGATCTAACATGGTACATTCTGTTGCATTGCTCTTATGCTTTGCTTGAACATAGTAGTAGTCTTCATTTCTTGTAGTTTGCATCACCTGATTGGTTAGATTTTTTTTACATCACTTTTCTTACTTAAGAAATATGCATTTCTTTTAATATTAATATGCTTCATATTTGTTCAAGTTCTAACATGGCTAGCTTTTTCATGACTAATACAATTAGATGAGTGTCTGAAAACTTCCAGTTCACTTGACTAGATTTTCACTCTCAGATTAGTTTTTTGTGACTAATGATGACTAAATGATGGCTGGAGATATCCGTTTTCATGGCTAGGTTTGTGCTGTCAGATTGAAACAAGCAGTTTATACCTGCCCTGGTGCTAACAACGGTTTGTAATTATACAACTGAAAAAGAAATTAAATCATTTGTGTTTAAATATTTTATGTGAAATTACTCCTCCTAGCAGGATGATTGATTAGGAGAAACTTGAACCATTGAATTCTAAAATTTATACGTAAAATGTCACTTTGTATCAGGAAGATTAGTTGTCTTATTTGAGGCGTGTGTGTGTGTGTATATATATATATATATATATATATAAAATATGTATCACTATAAAACTATATTGATCTCTGTCTATTTGATTCTGAGTAACTTAATTAACTAATATTGTTTTAAAAGGTAAGAAAAAAAGGGCCTTTGGATTAGAAACATAATTTTCAGCTTCTATATATTTTTTATGTTTCACAAACTATTTTGGAGGTACTATGTTTTGAATTTTTGGATATGTAGTTGCTGAAATGAGGCATCATTTTTCTTGTCCTCTAAATTGGGTATTCTGGATTTTGTTTCAAGTACAGAAATTTGAACAATTTGTAGATGGCTATTATCAATGCTTATTCAGTCTTAGCTTAGCAGAGGCTACTAGAAGTCCGGGAAGGAATTCATTTTGTTGTTACAGCAACCAGCCGACCACAACGACCAGGTGAAGTTGATGGGAAGGACTATCTTTTTGTAACCAAGGAGGAGTTTCTTTCAATGATTGAAAGAGATGAGCTTTTGGAACATGCTCTTGTTTATGGGGACTATAAAGGAATCCCTAAACAGCAGGTATTTATTTTGAAGTTCAATCATCATTCTGTCTTAATCTGTTTGCTAACAAAAATTTGGCATTGCGTTTGATTGAGTTATTTGCCATATAGATTTTTTTTTTAGGGTCTAGGTTTGTTTTCGAATAATTCTATGTTGCTTTTCGATAGTAGTCCTTAACATTAAAGCTTTAGGTCTTAGCCAAACAAACATAGTTCCGGCTTAAGAAACTGGTTTGTCTGTCATTGGGTGTAAGTGTGTAACTATCTATTGTGATGGATAAGCCCAAACTTTTGTTATCCTGGACTGGCCCCAGCCAATTACTGCTCGTTGCTATGTCTTATAAAAGGTAAGGTATCTTACGTTTAGCCAAGGAGTTCAATAGAATGTGATTCCAAACATGACTGATACTCATTTCAATAAGCTACTCCTAGAAACATAATTTCTTGCAATACATTCTCGTTCATCCAGAAGACTTTAAAATGATATTTTTGTGGGCCATCAGATCTTTTTGTTTGTATTCCTAAAGCTAATACTTAATTCATTGGCTTTAAACTTAGAACTTAACTTCATGTCTATATTCTCCTGTTTTCTCTTGAGCTTGCTGTTAGGATTTTGCCTTAGTTGTCTTCATTTGTTGTTTGGCTATGGTGGTTATACTGTGTCCTGAGTTAAGGAACCATTGTGTCTGACTATGTTGCACATGAGGCATAAATATTTAGAATAGTCTTTACTGCAGTACTGTTACTTTTTCTATCATTTGCAGTAATTGCAAAATGTGAGCTGGTATAAACATAAGCTATTCATATTGACATTGATTCTTATAATTGCTTATGACATGTAGCTTTTAATCAATCAGGCATGCATTTGCATGTGTAGCTAGCAATTGGACGAGTTTTGCCTATCATGCTCTATGCTTCTATTGTTCAATTTGTCAATCTTCCTTCTTGTCTCCAGATTCGTGACTACATGGATAAGGGTTTTGATGTTGTATTGAGAGTGGACATACAAGGTGCTGCTACACTGAGATCGATACTTGGCAACTCAGCAGTCTTCATTTTTCTGGTTGCAGAGAGTGAAGAAACACTAGTAAAAAGGCTTGTAGCTCGTAAGACAGAAACAGCAGAAATGCTTCTTGTCAGGATTGCGACAGCTAGGGAAGAGGTTAGGCATCTCAAAGAATTTGACTATGTTGTTACAAATGCTGAAGGAAAACTGGACGACACAGTTAAACTTGTGGAGTCCATCATTGATGCTGAGAAGGCTAAAGTCCACAGGCGCAATGTCCAGATCTAGTTCAAGAGGTTCGCCATCACTCCTTTCATTTATTAAGTTTAGTCTTCTGTCTTTACCTATCATTTGCATTTATGATATTTCATGTACTAGTGACATTTGATAATATCCTTTGCACTTGGACTATATGAGGTTGACTACATGAACCTTTGCCCACTATTATGCTTCATATAGGATAGTATCCATAATCTAAGAGCAATCGAGTCCTTGTTCTTTTAGGTCTTATCATCTTCTTCCACCATTTTGATTGACCTTATTTAATCATATAATCTATAGGTCTCATGTAAGTTATGAGTCACAAAATTTAGTTGATTCCATGTAAGTAGGAATAACAACTGGTGTCCATGAATTTCACCCTACTTGTTTCCAAGCCCGACTGACAACTCAAGTACCCAATCTCTTCCCAAACCATCTGTGTCTGGTACCTGATTTCGTGCTCGTACCCATGCTCATTCCAAACTCAATCAACAGTATCGTGTTCTGGCTTAAGTGGTTCAAGTAGGCATGATGTTAGTGCTCTTAACTTTTGTTATTTTCATGTCAACTAGCTTTGAAGACTGAAGATTTTTGTGTCTTCCCCATGTGCAAATCTCGTTCAACATTAAATTTCAAGAGGTTAAAAGATATTTTTTACATATATCGAATTAGGATACATCCTTTTTGTTTCTATTGCATGTGTATGATTAATAATATTTGCACGGAATGACTATTTTGTACAGATCATAAAATGTAATCTTGGTTCTAGAAATTATCAAACTTAATCTGCCATTTTTTTCCTGCAGATATTTCACCATCCATTTTTATCCTTCGAGGGAAACCACAAGGACGAAAGAACTCTTGTATCCTTAGTTGTTAGGGGCAGTGTACATTGCCTCCTGCAGAGTTTTTGCAAGGATGTAGGTGATAAAATTGGGTTTTGTTTTTTCTCTTTATTTTCTTTGTGGTGGTGTCCAGTTTATTATCAAGAGGAAAAGGTGGCCTGTCACTGTGTTCCGGCGTGTTGGTGGCCATGAATCTTACCAGAATCAGATATGCCCCCATTATCCATGCAAGCCTACCTACTTTCACTTTCCAAACATTGTAACTGTTCATTTGATGATTCAGGACATGGTGCCCCAATTCATATCCATTGCTTGTTGGGTCCACAAATCATGCAACATGGAATGGATTGGTCGGTAAAGACGTTCGTGCGTCTGCCTCAGCTGACATGCATACGAAAGAAGCAGGCTGAAGAATCACCGAATGAATCAACCCTTCTTTAAATGGAAGGAAAAGGTGTCCCTGACTTCGCCTGACGCCGTTGGACTCCGGGGAATGTGCTCGAGGATGAAGCAGGCAATACATAACACGAGATGTATGCCAATAAATGGACTGCTTACGCACATTTTGCCAACACTACCAAATTGGAACTCTCATGAAGTCTGTAGAGAAAGCTATCATTCCAACTGATAGATAATTCATGTGTTTAGCCTCCGCCGTCTCACAAGCAAGCAAGCAAGCAGGCTATTATTTATACAAAAACAAAATTGCAGATATTGACATTATATGAACAATACTTATTTCAGCAGACACGACTGTACCAAAACTTTCCACAGCATCATTCCAATTTTCTTCCATGAAACAGTGTCTGAGCGTCCCTGAAAGTTGATGGCGTAATCGAGCTGCGAATCCAATTAACGTTCTCATGCTTCCCTCTCTGGGTTCAGCGCCGATATGGGTTGTACATCCAATCTGAGCTTCTTTCCAGCATCGCATGGTCATTGATAGAAAATTGCGCCATAAATTGATTAAGCAACCCAAACTCACCCGCTTTGGTCCCACATAGGTCCATGACGTGATAACTCAACTGATTACAAGTAAATGAAGCAACGCTATAAGTTCCAAGCAATTAGGCAAACACATCAGATGCACAATTGTATGACCAATAAACCGCAACCTTTGCAGAACAACAAAATCCCTAAAATGATCATACTTGTTTTCTATTTTGCGATATTCCGAGAAGCTTCGAGTCCGATAACGGAACACTCTCTCGCTGCTCCCTCACAGAAGCAAAAAAAAAAAAATTCGCAGTTTTCAGCAATATAGCTCAGATAAAGAGACAACATACACGAGGGAAGAAGAGAAAATGGACTTGAAATTTAAAATTTCCGTCTAGGGCTTATGAACAGAGGAAAAACAATAAATGACCAAACCAAGATCTGATCTTTTACCCGGAGGAAGCAACGATCGGCGCACCCCGGCCTAGAATTCCGTCAAATCGATCAGAATGGAAAACGAAAGAGGTTGTATGGAGAAATGTTAAGAAGTGAGAAGCAGAAGGGTCTCGGATCCTGTGACAGATCGAGAGACAGAGAAAACAGGGCAGGGTTTTGAGGATCGGAAAGATAGGAGGCCGTAAAAAGGCCGTTTTAAAGAATCTCTTCAGTTGTTATCTTTATTATAGCGCAGTCGTGAAAAATCATCATAACGGCGGTGCCGTTATTTCGAACAGTTACGAACCTGACCTATACCGAACACCTTATGACAGTCACGTGACATCGGTTGCGTTCTTTCTATTTATTCCCTTGCATCTCCATTTTCCCTTCCCCTCTCCGTGCGGTTTCGAAGGAAGGGAAGAAGCGGAGGCCTCTCTCGCCCCATCCCTCTCGATCTCTCCACCTCTTTCGCGATCTCCAGGTGATTCCGATCCTCCTCTCCTTCTTCTGTATGTCTGATCCAGAAGATCGCCGCAATGATCGATCGCGGAAATCCTCAATCTTCTTCTTCCGTCTTAAATCATACATCGATCTCTTGTGGGGACTCTCGGATCGGAACCCTATTCATGTGGATCTTGGGTTTTTTTAGCCTTTCCATATCTTAGTCTCATTTATTATTGTGTTGGATCTTTGATCCGTGCATTTTTGTTGTTTTTACCTTTTGGGCTGATTTTTCGTTATGTTTTCTCTTGATAGCTGAAGGAAAGATGGGGTTGTCGTTCGCAAAGCTCTTTAGCCGCCTGTTTGCGAAGAAGGAGATGAGGATCCTGATGGTCGGGCTTGATGCCGCTGGTAAGACCACAATTCTTTACAAGCTCAAGCTTGGAGAGATCGTCACCACCATTCCAACCATTGGTGAGTATTGTTCGCTTCCCTAAATGTGCTTTTCTCAATTAAAATTTAATATTCTGGAATGAAGTGTTCTTTATTTCTTTCTGTGATGGCTACTTGATACTTCAGATAATAAGGCTCACGTTCGTGTTTGGATGGTGCGTTGGTGATACTGCGCCGATCTAATTGACATTTTTTTTCTAAATATGTAATAGGTGGTTGTGAACATTGATCGTCTTGTTTCATAAATTCATATTTGCTTATGCTCTATTTGCTCACAATCATAATTTTAGCTTTCTGCTTCACGAGAATGGGTGTAAAATTATGGGAGGAAAGAAACTTGAAACAAATTTAAATCCATGATAATTCTCTTTATTTCACCTGTCGAATTGAGTATTTTGTTCGCGGAACGGACTCATGGAATATGTTATCACGAAGATACTGACAATGTCGGGGCATGTCTCCAAACCATGATTTGTCTCTCCTTTATGTGTACCTCTTAACTTCTATGAAAGAAATTCCTGAGTTTTCTATTAATCTTTTATCTACTTATTGTTTTTGTTGCATTGCTAGTGTAATTGACAGATATTGCCAACAATCATTGTATCAACAGTTTTACAAATTTTTTGAGCTTTTGGTCGTATCCTGATTTGTTTGGACTGTAGTAAATGCATACGGAGTATTTAACTAGATTAGTACTTTGTTTTCCTTTTTCCTACTCTAAACATGACCTTCACTTTTTGTCCTCAAATAGCTTTATATCAAAAAGAAGTTCTAGAAATCGTTGGTTGAATTGATGAGGCCTCCAGTTGTGATGATTACATTTTCATTTAAACCGTGTTTACTTATTCAACACATGAGCAATTAAGGGTTTTTTTTTGTCAATCAGCATAATTTTTTGCTTTCTTATAGCAGAAGCATGACTTTTAATAAATTATGAATGACTTAATGGCTGCTTGGTGTTTAGCAATTGAAATGTACATGCTTACACAATCATAGATTTAAAAGTTTTTTAAATAAATTTGGTTGATTTTAATGCAGGATTCAATGTGGAGACCGTTGAGTACAAAAACATTAGCTTCACTGTATGGGATGTTGGTGGTCAGGACAAGGTATTGCTGTGATTATGTTAGCCTGTTTTTCATTATCCAAGCATCTGTGACAAGAGTTGTTTGAAGATGATCATCTTATGAGGTTAAGTTGCCTACAACAAATTATTATTTTACAAAACATTTAGGTGTTCTAAGGTATGGTTATCATCTTAAATTGGCATACTACATATTAGATACTTTACATGTAAAAAGTAGCCTGATTCTGTCCCTATGATTATTCTGGTAAAATGCAACTTGTTTGACTGTTTACTCAACGCCTATGTTCTGGTGATCTTGCTGTTTGGAAGAACAGATCAGACCTCTGTGGAGGCATTACTTCCAGAACACACAGGGCCTTATTTTCGTTGTTGACAGCAATGACCGTGATCGTGTTGTTGAGGCAAGAGATGAACTCCACAGGATGCTAAATGAGGTAACTTCTTCTAGTGATGGTACTCCTTTAAATATGTAATGTTCTGTTTGCATAAAACAGATTTGTTAAAGCCTAACTCAAGTAGAATTGTTGTGTTTATCGGATTATGTTAAATAAGCTTTGACTTCTGCCATCAAATTAACCTTAGAAATGAAGAAAATGTTCTTGTTCTGCACTAACTTCTTCATACATAATCTCATACAAAATTTCACTTACATGGTTATCTAGTGGATTAAGTGAATGATTCCTACACATGACAAAGTTGTTGATTGGTGTGATAGAAGGAACTTATATGATAACAGTTGTAAATTTCTTGTGATTTTAGATGACAAGAGAAAAAGATATGTATGATCATTATACCGATAAAAGCTATTTAGATCCATTTTTTATATTTTTGGATGCAAAGTTATTTGAGAAAGAAACTAATTGGGTAAATAATTTACCGGATGATTCTTTCAAATGACTTATCTAATCATGATTTTCATCAATATATGTCTTTGTGAATGAAGTTTGGTGGATCAACATTTTGGTATTTGAATGTCCTTTTAACCCATTTTACCAATCATTTAGTTCATACGAAATTTAAAGCATGTCAGATATCTTCTTTAGCAACGTAGCATCTTTTTATTACTATGGATTACTGATCCATCTGTTTTTAATGTGTTTTGATGCTGATAGGATGAGTTACGGGATGCTGTCTTGCTTGTGTTTGCTAACAAACAAGACCTTCCAAATGCAATGAATGCTGCTGAAATCACTGATAAGCTTGGTCTGCATTCCCTGCGTCAGCGACACTGGTAAGATATTCTTCACTTTGATGAGCTAATACATATGTATATGTATATATACATATACATATACATATGTATATATACATATATATATGTATATATATATATAGGTGCAGAAATGTAAAGGAGTTGATTTTCTGCAAATAGATCAAAGCATATGTTTGACAGTGACATTAGATAAACTTAATATTAGGTAGCCTTTTGTTCGTTTCTTTTGGTAAAGGACCACTTGACTTTCATTTGAAGGTTTAAAATTTTGGTCGAAAGCTGCTTTTTAGAAAATCCAGATTGGCTTTCTAGAAAGGACCATTGACTTTCTTTTTTTTTTCTTTTTCCCAACCAAACCGGATGTTTTATAAAATCTCTTCATACATCTGGTGACTTTCTTTTTTGAAAGGACCACTTGCAGAAATTTTCAGGTTTCTTATGATTGATTAAAAAATATAGGTCGTTCATACTGCTGACTGGTTTTCTGCACTTTATACTGTTTTAGGTACATACAGAGCACTTGTGCCACATCTGGTGAGGGCTTATACGAGGGGCTCGACTGGCTTTCTAGCAACATTGCCAGCAAGGTATCTACTTACTCTTTTGTTCATCCTTGTGGTTGGTTAGAACTTTATAATCGTGCATCGCATGCATGCACCAATTCCCTTTTTATTTGTCAAATTCTTGAGAGTCGTGGCATCATTTTTTTCTTTTTATATTTAATGGAGGAGAGAGTTGGTGCTGACATGCTTATTTTTTTACAGTAACCAAGGTTGCTTGGAGGGGCGCATGACAGCATCAGTATTATGGAATTTTCCACATTGTTGCACGCTTTTGGGACACATCGAAACCAACGCAACTTATAATGTTTCACTTGAATGGGTCAACTTTTTCCCTTGTCTTATGCTTTTTCAAAACCTAAGTAATACTCTGACAGTAAAATAACCGTGTTGGCTACCTTACACCTGTTCTATGTTTATGAATTCTTTTTGCTGGTATGCTACTCGCTTTGTTGAATAGGTTTGGGGATGATGCTGGCCCTATTATTTTATCTGATATTTTATTTTGACATAGGAGTTGCTTATCTTGGTAGGGACGATGCATAATGGGCTTTTTTTTACCAACAGAGCAATTAATTCAGATGAATGTAGAAAGTTTACCTTTTAGGGTGGGTGGTTGAATGTGATCAACCATATTGCCATCTGAAAAAAAAAAAAAATTAACATGGAATATTTGGCATACGTTAGTTATTATATTATGACAGACAGACTCATCCTCCTAAGTTCTTCAGGAAAATTAAAAATAGAGAGCTATTTTTCACACTTATCAACTCCTGAAAGAGAGCCCCTCTTCTAATTCAAAGTGAGAAAACAAAAGAACGACGTCTGCTTTCCTTGTCCCAGCAGAGAGTCAAACACCTGCTGAGAAATAGAAACAAGAGAAGGGGCCAAAATGATTCCCAAGAACAAACGATGGAACCGAATTCATTACTCCTCGGCATAAGTGCTCCTCCACCCTTTATTTTGCACTTGCAGCAGTACAAACACTAGAGGCCAATAGGATCTAGCTCATTTAAGGCCATGGATTCATTCCACTCTCTTGTCCCAATTGGCACCTAGGGACTCCCAATAATAACCATGGCCAATTGTCCCAATTGGCCATTGATTCCTGCTCCTACGTCTAAGCAGAAGGCCCTACATCTGTGGCTTGCCTCTTCTTTTCTTGTCGTCGTTGCGAGTCCCATCGCACGTGGCTTCTATTCTTATCACACAAGCTTCGTCAAACATGGCTGGCTGGCTTTTCTCATCCCTCTTTCCATCCTTGCATATGCGGTCCAGTCTCGAATGAATGGTATACAGATGCAGCAACTTAATACCAATAACACCAAGTACCAAAGATGATGTGATGAATTAATTATACATGAAATTTTATACCGACGAAAAAAATTGCAGAACGTCTATCAGATGAGCCTACCTACATAAGCAGCAGCCGTACACGTGAGGTTTGCAACCGCTGCTGAATCATGATACAATTACAGAGGCTATAGAATTCAAGAAGCAGAGTTCAGAAGCTCGCAGTCACTTATTTCCAGTTTTATTGTCGTCGATGGAAGTGGAATCAGCTCACGTAATTTGGGGCAGGAGACGAGGTTAAGTTCACGGAGCGTGGGAATCTCACCTGCTTCCACTTCAAACAATTTCTCCAATATAAGCATGTTCCTAATCGTAAGAACCTCCAAGGTTGGAAATCCCAATATATTTCCCAAGTTTCTCAGCCGGTCCATCTTTTCTACGTGCAACTTCTTGAGCCGAGGTAGCCGCCCAAGCGAAGGGAAGCGTTCGCAACCGACACAGCCGGAGAGTCTCATCGTTTCTAGCTTCCACAAAGAACGATCATCCATCCAATTCGGAAATGTTCTTCCCGGATAGTTCACAATCCATAGATGTTCGAGATTCCAATGAGGACGAAGCCTGTCAGCAACTTGCTCATGCGGATTCCTTCTTCGGTTTTCATCGGCTGAGGTCTGAAGAGGCTGAGCGGTCCACCGCAGCGCCAGCTTCCTGATGTACTTCTTCCCCATCAAATTAGCCGCTCCGGCATCGCCTGCATCCGCCATCTTCTCTAGCTTAGAGATGCAAAGCTCTCCTTTAAGATTCAAATCCTTCAACTCGCCGATGTTGCACTCGCTGCCGGCGGTGACGGTGAATCTCGACAGCGTCTGCAGAGAAGTTAGACGCCCAATTCCGGGTGGCATGGAATTCAGATCAGCATCCTTTTCCCAGTCGAGATGCAAGCCAAGATGCCTGAGGTTGACTAATTTGCTCGTTCCTTTGGGCAACTCCGAAAGCTTGTCGCACTCGCTCAGCTCCAGAGTCTTCAAATTGTACAGGTTGCTCACCGATTCGGGCAGCCGTCGAATGCCAGTACCCCTGAGGCCGAGGTACCTAAGGAGAAGTAGATCACCAACCGAATCTGGCAATTCTTCTATGTCACTATTGCTCAAATCCAATAGCCGCAGCCATTTTAGTTTGAAGAAGAGATCTTTCGGAACTTGCCCCACTTTAGATTCGCCATACGATCTGAGAGTCCGCAGACGTTCGTAAGCGTAGAGCTTCTCCAATGTCACCGTGCTCAGGTTTGGGTGAAACAGAGATGCATAACGAGGCCGTTCCGGTGGATCATGCAGCACGCCATCCTCTACGATCAGTAGCTCATTCTTGGATACGAGGCGGGCTAGATCATGGATCAGGCTGGGCATTCGGTATTTCTGCTTGTGTGACCTCTCGAAGAACGACCCCCATAGCAGGCGATCGAAGTACCTGCCGCCGATGGCCTCCGGCTTCCTCGGCCCGTTGCGCTGAACCAAGCCTTCTGCTATCCACATCTGGACCACCTCGTCTTTGTCGAATTCGTATCCGTTTGGGAAGAGGGAGCAGTAAGCGAAGCACTGCTTTAGCGGGTAGGTCAGATGGCGGTAGCTTATCATGAGACGGGACAATATCTCATTGTTGTTCTCTTCGAGAGCCCACATCTCCTGGTGGATGCTCTCCCAGATTTCTTCGTCGTTTTCGTCGTACAAGATGGCGCCGAGCGACTTTGCGGCCAAAGGTGATCCCTGGCATCTGCTCACTATCTTCCTACCGATCTCCTCCAGGTTGGAAACGACGGTCTCTTCAGGATGCGGGAATGCCACACCACGAAGCAGCGCCCAGCAATCGCTCTCGTTCAGGCCTTCTAAAGGGAGCACTGGCTGCGTCGTCATCCGACTCGACACCACTTTGCTCCGAGTCGTAATCAAAACCTTGCTTCCTTTGGCTCCGTACCGCAGAGGAGCGCGCAGCGTGTCCCAGAAGGTGCAGTCCTCCGCCCAGAAATTGTCGAGCACCAGAAGGAACTTCTTGCCGTCGAGGAGTTCCTTGAGACGATGGTGCAGGATGTTCAAACTCCGATCGTTGCAGGTTTTCTTGGTTATATCATCGACGATCTCTTTCGTAGCCGTGATAACATCGCAGCCTTTGGGCAGCGACACCCATATCTTCAAGTCAAAGTACTCGTCGTCGCCAACCGCAACCGCTGGTCCTTTCCCCTTGTCATCTCCAGAAGGCCGTTTAGGATTGGGGTGATTCTCCCCTCTATCCTTCTCAGAGAAATGGTCGAAGACTAATTGGGCAAGAGCGGTCTTACCGACTCCCGCGACGCCATAAATTGGGATCACGGAAGGAACTGTCTCGCACTCCTTTGTCAGGGCACGCACAATCCTCTCGCAGTCCTCGTCTCTCCCCACGACGTTTGATCGATCGAAACACGCCACGGCCAATGGAGGAACCGAATCCGGGGAACTCTTGGCTCGCCTGCTCCCATCGGAGGGCTTCAGTTGGAGATTATTTCGGCCATCAGCGATCTCCTTGAATCTGTCCTGGATCTTGGCAACCTCGATCCCGATGCTGCGGCGCTGGAGGAGACCGAGGTCCGGGCCGATGAAGCCGAACCAGAAGCGCTTCCGCTTCCGCGAATCACCGTCCTTGGCGAGCTTGGCGACGTCAAGGAGGGTCCGGTAGCGGTCGAGGAGATCGTCGGCGTCGAAGGCGACGGCCTTGAGCTCGAGGAGCCAGCCCTTGACGGACTCGTCCACGATGTAGCGGCGGTCCTCGGCGTCGGAGAGGAGGGATTGGGCCCGAAGTAAGGTCCTATGGAGCTTCTGGACATCGTCCTCCACGCTAAGGAGGCGGGAGATCTCGGACCCGACAGTGGAGCATAGCCATCCGAAGCCCTTGTTCCAGAGTTCGACGAGAGGCGCTAGCTCGCCGAGCTTGGAGACAAGATTTCTGAGAAGTTCCTCCCGATCCATGGTAAGTGATCGGTCGAGGGGACAGGAGCAGGAGAATGACAAGATGGAGGAGGTGGTGGTGGCTGCTGCCGCTGGATCTTTGTGCGGAGAGAGGAACCGGAGGTGGTGGAGTCGACTTGACTTTGACTCGGAATACCTCTACCTAATTAATAATGATATTAAAATTACATAATTACGCCAGTACTTAAGAAAGATTATACACCTTACCTTCGGGCAATTTCCACAAAACACTTTTTTTTTATTTGTCTCATATGATGCATTTCATTTTAATTTTTTTTATTTTTTTATTTTTTATATTTTAAACATGTAAGTCGATTCAAGGTAGTCAGTGAGTAAAATAACAACTTGATGATTATCCTAAAAGGGTAGGCATACAATTAGATGGAGTTGACCTTCGAAGTTAAGTAAGAGGTTAGCGGGTTTAGTATTACTTTAATATTACGATGCACAATGAATAAAGAGTCAAGATAGACGATAACTATGATGAAACCAATGGTTAAACGAAGTCGATTATGAAGACGGTCGATCAGACAACAATAAGAGATATTTAAGGTATTAGAGAAAAATAAGGACATCAAATGAAAAATCTAAAAGTTAAATTAAAATTAATACCTTTAAATTTTTTACTAATATTTTAAATTATTTATAATTATAAAAAATTTTAAATTTAAACTAAAATTTAATAATACAGAGTTAGCCGACGTTAACAAGAGGGCATAAGTTGAAGAATGATATTACAAAATTGGGTTCAACCACAATCCAAGTCTAAATTCGATCGACTAATGGGATCTCGGCCGTGCTGGTTTCTGGATTAAGACCACGCGATCACCGAGGAGTCTCCGATTGGGCGAGAGCTTGAGTTGAATCGAACGCTCTCATTGGGTCGCACCGCATCAACAACCCAACAATAACCTCAATGGTGCTGCTGCTGCATTCACAAATCTCCGTCTTCCCAAACTGTCTATCCCTTTTAATCGGCAGCAAAACTGCAAGTGAGAGATTAAATCCAACACCCATAATGTCCCACCGCATTAGATCGATAGAGGGACAACCAATCCGAGCCCAAATCTATGAGACAATGATTCATCGTGGTGGGATCCATTCCAATTCTGTATAAAGCGTAAACAGCTGTACAACAACATGGGACGGTTGGTCCGACTGCCCTGCACAGCATCCGCACTCCAAATAAAATCTAAAGCTGGCTTCTCGCTGTACAGCACACGCGGTGGCGTCCCTCTTGTTTCTGGTGGTTGAGTGCCAAGTAAGGATCCAATCCCCTGTCTGACCCCCACACGCACAAGTGTGAGGAGCTCCGGTTTAGTATTGCGGTACACATAAGGTGGGCGGTGGGCGGTGGCGACGGAGAAAGCATACATTAACATCAACCACCGTCCGGAAAAGAAGACAACAGCAAAACAAAGATTTAAAATAGGAAAACAAGGAAGAGAGAGAGAGAGAACAATTTTTACAGATCAGTCGTATGGTGGTAAGTGCACAAATAGAAAACCAAATGATAGCCTCTGTTCATATATAGGGATGGTGGAGAACCATCGGATGTGCTCCTTTTTCTGACCTCCACCATTCTTTCCACCACCATACTCGATCCATCCGAGCCCTGCCCTCGCCTCCGCAGGTATATCTATCTTTCTCTTTTTCCTCGCACGAAGATGTATTCTGGGAAATCTTCCCCTTGCCTTTCTTCGGTCTCGCGACGACGGATCCTCCTCCGCATCCTATGAGGCGTGCGATTATTCTATGACCTGAATTTTCTGCCGTCTCAGATTTCGGATCCGTTGTCACCTGTAATGTTCGATCTCTGCTCTCCTTTTGCGAGTTTTATTGGGGGAATCTTGATCTTGATCTCCTCGGAATATGATGTTCCCCGCGTGCAAATTGCTTTCTTGATTGGATGAATGAAGAAGAAAGTTGATGTTTTTGATGATCTGATACGGATCTGTTCTTCCGCATGTTGGATGGTCCGGAAAGCAGACTAAATCGGAGAAACTGTGTTCTCCTTTAATACTTGTCAGTAATGTCAAGAACACAAATTTCCTTTATCGTTAGGATTTTTCCCTGCTGGATTGCCATCTCGCTACGATTATTTTCACCTTTCGTGTTTCCTCTAAGCTTCCTTTGTTGCGCTTTCCATTCATCACATCTGGTTTTTTGTGATATGTGTAGACCGGAGGAGGGCTGTCTGTGGAGGGCGAGAGGCAGGAAAAATGGGTGAGAGTGAGGCCATAGCCGCTAGATATTGGTGCCACATGTGCTCTCAATTGGTGAGTCCGATCGTGGAGATGGAGCTCAAATGCCCACATTGTAACGGTGGATTCGTGGAAGAGATGGATGCGAGAGGAGACATGGACGATCAGGCCCTCTCCCTGTGGGCCCCGATCTGGCTCGGGATGCTCGGAGGTGGCTCCTTGCGCCGCCGGAGAGTTCACAGGGAAGAGGAGAGGGAGAACTCGGACCCGGACGGAGACCGCCAAGTGGAGACCATTCGACGAAGGCGGAGGAGGACCTCCGCCATCCTTCACTTGCTCCATGTCCTCCGGGAGGGGAACCGACGGGAGTCCGATGGGGCCGACGCCGAGAGGGAGAGCGGAAGGCGTCGGGAGAGCCTCATCCTCATCAATCCTTTCACCGATCCCATAATTCTGCAAGGATCATCGGATGCCAACCAGCTGCTAAGCCACAGCAGCAGCACCACCGGCGTTTCTCCGGGAGACTACTTTCTTGGCCCGGGTCTGGATCTTTTGTTGCAGCGTCTGGCAGAGAGCGAGACGAGCCGGTACGGGACGCCGCCGGCTCTGAAAGAGGCCGTGGATGCAATGCCGACGGTGAAAATCGAGAAGAATACGAGTTGTTCGATATGCTTGGAGGACTTGGAGGTGGGTGATGAGGGCAGGGAGATGCCCTGCAAGCACACGTTCCACAGCGGTTGCATCTTGCCGTGGCTGGACCTCCATAGTTCGTGCCCTGTTTGCCGGTTTCAGATGCCTGCCGATGAATCGAAGGTGGTCCCTAGCGCAGGCGGGAGTGTCAGCAGAGAGGGCGTCGGTGGTGGGGAAAGCCTTCCTTGGCCTTCCCATCGCTTGTTCTCTTTCCCAGGGTCTCAGAGCAGCAGTAGCAGCTCTGTTTCGTCACCCCCATCATCGTCATCATCGACCTCAGGGAGTAACTCTCAGCCAAACGAGAATTGAAGATGCCGCTGCCTCGAGGGTTTTTTTGGGTAGCTTCTTGTACATATATCGTTTCATCTGCTGATTTAGCATGCCGAAAGAAGGAACGAAAGTACATGCACTGTTCGATTCTCGAGTTCCCCTTCTATTGTGATCGTTCGCTTTGGTCGCGTATACCTGCAGCAAACAGCAGGTAACAATATCTCATCATGTCCGATCGATTGCAGCGCCGGTTGATACTAGAAATCATGCAAGTTCAAATATGGAGATCGATTGCAGCAGTTCCTTGTGTTTTGGCCTGTCGATCCGCTCGCCATTCTCGAGCTGCTTTCGATCTGACGAACACGTGAAGACGTAAGGGGGCCAACCAACAATCCGCACTCGATAAAAGCGTGCAACAATGGAGAGTATGACTTGAGAACCAGTCATGAACAGAACAGCAATAGATCATTCGTCTTCGCCTGTCTGCCTCGGTTTTCCCAGAAGATCAACTCGCAGCACCTAACCAGAATCATTCTTTGCTGATCTCTTTTGGGAATCATCAAGCCATGCATCCGTACCTCGGGTGGCCAAGCCAATTCTAATCGGCGACCGGAGGTGTCGTCGGCTGCATGGATGCGTGCCATTTTTCTTATGACGTACGAATTGCGATGGAAGAAGCGACGAGGCATGACTTGCAAGACATGCTCATGTTACATAATCATCTCACTTTTCCGAACTAAATAAGTAGCATAATCGTCTCTTATGATCAAAAGCTTGCATAATCTTACCTCGTTGTTCGATTAAACTAAATAAGGCAAAATGCTTGCTGCCAGTTCTCGTTTGATAGACACATTCTTCATGGTTAGCATAAACAACAATACTGGTTTAGGTAGCACTATGACCAGCAGCAATTGATTGGTGTTGCCTAAGACATCCATTGGTTATCCGGTTGCTTAACATTCCAGAACTCATGAAATCTCTTGATAAGCATCACATACAGCATAGTTGGAAGTCAGTTTTGATCAAACACAAATAGAGAGAGAGAGAGAGAGAGAGAGGAGAGGGAAACACTAAGAAGGAGCTGGTTGAACAAACCATGTCATGACTTATCCAAATCATGGATGATGAGAATAGCACACTCCCGGGATTCTGCATCACAGAAAGCAATTTAAACTCGGAAAACATGATGAAAGCAAGCGACAAGTGTATACGTACACGTTAAAAGATCAGCATATTTGTGCATGTAGAAGATATTGGTCTTTGTTTTGGGAGGGGGCGGGGGTGCAAAGACAAGCCATGGCGTGATGCAATTAGCTGAGATGCCTCTCCTCAAAGCTCAGCAAGATCTGGTGCCGCTGCTCGACGTGGATGGAGAGCTCGCTTGTCGCTGTAATCTACACGGTGCTTGACGTCATACCACTGCCGAGGATACGAACTGCATGAAATAATTACAAGATCCGGAAGTCTTGGTTAGCACAGGTATATGGTGTGCTATTGCTTCCAAGAAAAGTCGTCGGGTTTCCGTAGCATGAAGCAAGGAATATATGAATGTTTCCCAAGGATGACTGTGCTGCAAGTATCTGCCACTATGGCATTTGTTTTTTCTCTGTGCCAAGTTATTTGTTCGCAGTACACAGTGTTGCTTCTTGGGTGAGTTAGAACACGCTGTAGTGCAGCTGCATATAGATAGATAGATAGATAACACCAAGATTAGGGCACAAGTTGCACGTGTTCTACATGAGTAGGCAGAGAGTATTTGTCGCAAATTTTCTTTCTTTCTCCGGATTTTAATGCATGAAAGCTGGGCCTAATTACTGTACCATCGTGCAAGGAGTAAGCCATTAAGCCAAGCAAATCACACGAATAGAAGAACCCTTCCTCTTCCTCCCTCCTCAAACTTATCTTGGCTCAGCTCATCTTTACAGATTACAGCCTCTCAGTCCGTCATCGTATCGTTTTTAGATTTTTGAGCAACTCAAATTACTGAAGAGAAGAGAAGCCGATGACGGATGAAAGGACTAGAAATTTGGAGTGAATTTAATTGA